AGAAATTTAGTTATTGTTTGCTGCTATATATATATATATATATATATATATATATATATATATATATATATATATAATTCCCAACATTAATTTAGACTAAATTGCCATTACTCATCCTGGTGCATTAAAAAAAATAAAAAATAATAATATATATATATATATAAGACACTTAATATTCTGTAATATTATTGACCTGCAGTGACACTATCAGATTATTTGAACTGAATCGAGCTGAATAATGACACTGCTTGCAGCTGAAATTGAACTTGATGCTGTAAATGAAACATAACAGATGTAAGTGAAACATGGAACTGCTTTACATCTTCTGATCTTTGGAAGAGCAAAAGGTTGTGTGCCAACCACTCACATTTCAGACAATGGCTTTTAATGGGGACATCAACAAGCCTGACCTGTAAGCGCTACAGTATTCATCTGCGGTGTTCATTTAAATTAAGAATAATGTAATTCTCTGTTGGGATGGTGTGTTATTTTGCCCATCTCCTTCAAGCCGGAGCGTCTTCTGTCACGCTATCACACTGATATTACCCCAGCAGAGAGCTGACATTTAGAACAGGTGCTCAGCTGTGCTCCATAATTAACCTGCTCTCTGTTTCTGTCTGTCTCGCAGCGTGCCAGTGTGCCCATGTGGGAAATAACTGTGACGCTAACACAGGTCAGTGTATCTGTCCGCCCAACACCGTGGGAGAGAGATGTGACAAATGTGCGCCCAACCACTGGGGTCACGACATCAGCAGCGGCTGTAAGGTACGGCTCACACCGTCACGGCTTCACTCTGTCTGCTCTGGCTGTGTATATTTATCTTCTGCCGAAACATCATTATTATTCACCCTCTGTAAAGTCTTGTCGAGGTGAATCTTTGAGTTAATGTCGCAGAGAATAGAAGGTGAGCTTGTGGGGATGGGTGGGGTGTGGGGTGGGGAACATTATGATACACCTGTTCTGATATCATAATGAAGAAAAGTAGTAGTAGTTTTGCATAATCTTTTACTCTCTTCCTGGTTCCAATCTGGATCCTCGCAGCAGCATTTTGAACTGAACTTACAAACTCCCATATGTAATGGTTCATAGTAATCAGCCCTGAGCTGGAAACTATATATGTGACTATATGTTTTTTGTTTGTTTGTGTATCAAACTTTGAAGCTGAGTTAAAGATGATGTTTGTGTGTGCAAATTTAAGGGCAAGATGTGGTTGGCAGAAACTGTGCTACGAATATACAGGTGGTGAGACAGAAAGCCACAGAGTTAACCAGAAGTTACCTATCCATAAAACATAGTGAATATTCATGTATAGATGGTGCACAGTCTTATGCAAACAAATAACAAAAAAATGTAACACAAAACACCCTAATGTACACTCTAAGAAAGGTCTGTACTGTAATGTGAAGGGATTTTCTATATTGGTTTCTCAGGTGTTTTCCCTATGTTTTGAATTATGCATTGCATTGTGTTGTGTTGTAGGGTAATGTCCATTTAAAGGAAATGTCCTTATGGGACATTATCAGATTAAAATACCAGTTTAAATTTCAGAGATTTAACTTAACTTCAGTGCCTTATGGTGGGGTGACTTAAAACACTGGCTCAATTTACCCCACAGCATTTGGCTCACTTTACCCCATAGCTGCCATTTTGGAAAAAACTCTGACTTACCAATTCAGGCTAATATTTATCTAAATGATTTGCATGGTTTTATATGTTCCTAAATCACCTAGATGCATCATAAATATTTTTAGACCTGGTTAAATTTGCTTTGATGTAACAGCCATTACATCTGCTATGCTAAAAGTTTACTTTGACAATCTCACTGGCTCAACTTACCGCTCTCTCCCTAAACATAATATATTTTTTATTTCCATTTTTCTACGATGTACATTACTGATAACAAAAATAATAAGAAACAAAACTATTTAAATAAAATATAATAATAATTGATGGTTTCTGCAAGGACTTCTGGGAATGTCCTTTTCCTGTTATTATTATTTTTTTTTTCATTGTAAATTATACAGTAGTTCATAGTTTTCACTTGAAAAAAAACATAAATTTAACAGTATTTTAAAGTAAAGCTACGTATAATGCAATGTTAAATAATTTTTCACCATATATGTTAAGGTAACTTACAGTACAGTTAATCAGTTAATAGGTTTTTACTGTTGCATGCATCAGTACATTGGATGAACTACATTTGTGTGGTGTCATATAATGAACTGACTACTTAGGTGCTGATTACCAATACATTTGTTTTTCAAGTCTCAGATCACCCCTCTCTTTCCTTTGATATCTGCAAACGTGACTTTTCGGTGACAGTGTAATTGAATGTGATTCATAAGCATTGCATTTTATGCAGTGGCACATACAACACACAGGTTAACATCGCCTTACCTAAAGCAATTTCTGGTAAAACTTACCAAAAGGTTGGTAGCCATATAAACTTTAATGTCTCTGTAGTAAACAGAGTTTGTAAGGCATAACAACAGTATGAGATGTTGTGTTTCTGAAAAATATTACCTATATATATATACACACACACACACACACACAGTGGGTATAGAAAATAATTTGTTGCTTTGCATCCGGAAATGAAGACAGACACAGTTTTTTGTTTCGTCCAGCTGTATTTACTCAGTGCAACTTATAACATCCAAGTGAAAGATATAACCTCAACCAGAGGTCAACCGGAGTCTTAAACCAGACTCACTGAGTTGGAAAAAGGATCAGCCCCCTCCTAAAAATGACTTGTAAACTCAATCAGGTCTAGTTCATCAGCTTCTCAATGGCACACAAAGCCATTTGACTTTCATCTGTGATCAGCTGTGCTCATTTTGATTAGCTCAGCATGAAAAGAGCTTTCCTGGAGCATTTCAGTCCTTGGTAGTGCAACTGAAGCAAACTATCAACTATGAGCTGCAAGGCACTGTCAAAAGATCTCCTGGATAAAGCTGTGGACAGGCACAAGTCAGGAGATGGAGACAAAAGCATTTCAAAGGCTTTATCAATGCCTAGAAGCACCGTGAAGTCTATTATTAAGAAGTGGAAGGTATTTGGTGCAACACAGACCCTCCCTGGATCAGGACGTCTCTCCAAACTGGATGAAAGGCCCTGTTGAATAAAACAGCATATGCTGGTTAGGTATGTTTTGAAGTGTGGCAGCTGGTTTCTTAGTTGGTCATGAGCTGGTTTAAGCTGATCATGTGCTGGTCCTAAGCAACTAGCTCCTGCTTAGGACCAGCTCATAGCCAGCCTATAACCAGCTCAGGACCAGGTTAAACCAACTCAAACCAGCTGCCATGCTTCAAAACATACATAACCAGCACTCGTCAGAGAGGCGACCAAGAGACTTACAGCAACTCTAAAGCAGTTGCAGGAATTTTATGAGAAAGAGTGGTCATTGTGTGTATGTGACAACAATATTACAAATTCTCCACAAATGCGGCATGTATGGGAGGGTTGCAAGAAAAAAGCCACTCCTCAAAAAGGCTGCATGCAATTAGACTGAGCTTTGCCAAAACACACCTTAAAGATTCTGAGGCAGATGAGACTAAAATTGAATTATTTGGCCTCAACACCAAACGATATGTCTGGCAGAAATCCACTACAGTTCACCATCCAAACAACAGCATTACTTCAGTAAAGCATAGAGGTGGTAATGTCCTGTTATGGCGTGTTTCTCTGCAGCAGGGACTGGAGCACTTGGCAGGACAGAAGGAAAAATAAATTGGTCAAAATTCTTGAATGTCCTTGCATGGCCTCGTCAGAGCCCAGACTTAAACCCCACTGCAAATCTGTGGAATGACCTGAAGACTGCAGTCCACAAACGCTCACCATCAAATTTAATTGAACTTGAGCAGCTCTGCAAAGAAGAGTGGGCAAATGTTGCAAAGTCTAGATTTATTAATAGAGACATATCCCAACAGACTAAAGTCTGTAAGGTGGTTCAACAAAATACTGGCACAAGGGGGTGATACTTTTCCAACTCAGTAATTCTGTTAAATCAACCGGCCCCAAAACAGAGCCTTGAGATACCCTGCAGGTGATAGATGTAGAGGAAGAAATGTAATTCTCAATTTCAATGGAAAAATCTCTCGCCTTAAGGTAGGAAGAGGAGCAGCCAAGGGCAGTGCTGAGAATTGCGTCTTATTCTGACTGATTTTCTATTAAGTGGCAAATAATGCTCAGCCTTGCCTGCCCTGATCAGACTTTACAACACTTAATGGTTCAGAATGGATCCTACATTTTCAAAAGTGTTCAGTCACATGCAGGGAAAGTGAATGCCATTTTAATTAAATGTTATGCATATTATGAATTATATGTGTGTAATTTTCTCTCTTTCTCTGTAGTCATGTGGCTGTAACGCGCTGGGGTCTGTAGCACAGCAATGTAACGTGAACACAGGCTGCTGCATGTGCCGTGAGCAGTTCAGGGGTGAGAAATGTGACGAGTGTAAGCTGGGTTACAGAGACTTCCCACAATGCATTTCCTGCCAGTGCTCGGCGGCAGGCTCGTCACTGGACACCTGCGATGCAGAGTCTGGTCTCTGTGCATGTGCAGACAGAAGTGGGCAGTGCTCATGCAAGGTAATGACATTGAGCTTGAAACCCGACTCTGATTCATCCAGTATAGCCACTGTTGTACAGTAAATTGTGATCAAAGGGATTTTTCAGCAGAACTGCCATGTCATAATGACTATTAGGGGTATAGAAATGCACTGCCAATTAATTATTGTATGATGCTCCAATCTGATAAAACTGCTGTTCCCACATGACAGCTGTGAGAGAGACTGTCCTGGGCTACCTTTCCCAAAAGCATTGCAAGCCTAAGTAGATCATAAAGATCACTGATGCTGATGGTTTCTTTGATCTGCTTAGGGTTACAATACTTTGGGGAAATGCAACTCTATTCTTTAAGGTAGCTGTAAAACAACACACACAGTACTAATGTGAATGTATGTGTTCAGGCTAACGTGGAGGGAGTGAAATGTGACCGCTGTAAGGTGGGCTCGTTCAGCCTCAGTCACAGGAATCCACTGGGCTGCAGTCAGTGCTACTGCTTCGGCTTGAGCAGCTCATGTACAGAGGCCACGGGACTCATCCGTATGAGGGTGAGTAAACACACACAAGTCATACACAAGTCAAACACACAACTTGCATTTTACTTACGTTTTAAATTTTTTTACCTTACCATATTTAATTACTGAATTGAATGTGATCCCTAAGCATTGTTTACCATTACATTTTATCCAATAGGACATATGACACAGGTTAACATCTCCTCCTTATATAAAGCAGTTTCTGGTAAAACTTTTCTTACCAAATCGGTCATAGCTATCTAACTTTAATGTCTCTGTGGCAAACAGAGTTTGTAAGGCAGAACTCAGTTTTAGTAGAAGCAGAGTATTGTCAAATAATAGTATGAGATGCTGTGTTTCTAAAATTTTATACCTAACAGGAGAATATATATAATGAAACCGGGCCCAAAACGGAGCCTTGAGGTACCCCGCAGGTGATAGGTGCAGAGGAAGAAGAGAATTCTTAATTCTCACTTCAAATTTAATTATTCAACACATAATATTGTTCCTCATTTGAAAAACCTCATTACCCCTTGTAAGGGAGCATTGGATTTGACAATTGCAACATTTTTTTTAATTTAGGTGGAATGAGAAGTAAATAATCTCATCGAAGTTTCTTTTACACATACAGTGTGTCAGGTTCAACTATTAACTAACTATTCAACCCGGTTACTCAAATGTTTTTTCTTTAAAGTATGAAAGCTTTCAATAATTATAAACCATTTTGACTGTTATTTTACAGAATTATGAGCGTTTATGATTCTTAACCAAAGGATATGTTTTAATTATTATTTGCTTTATATGTTGGTTGTGATGGTGTGGATGAGAAGAGGACACAGGTGTCTGTTTGTGTGTGTGTTTTGATGGCTTTCTTAATCATCTTGTTCCGAGGTGGGCTGAGACGCTCCGGTTACCAGGGAAACAGTAAATATTAATAAATATCAAGTGCTTCCTAGATGTCATTCTCCCTCAACCATATTCACAACAGGACAGAATTAAGTGTGCAGGAGCAGCAGAGCAGACAGAGACAAATATAGAGAGAAAGCGATGACGCACAGAGCCAGAGCCCTTGTTTGTTTTAAAAAAGGGTTTCCTGCATGTTCAGAAACTCGTCTTAATCCTCAGCATGTCCATGGAGAAAAAAAGCAGAATATGGCTGAATGACACTCTTCCAATGTGATGAAATCGACAAACAAATTAAACAAAGATTGCTGTTTAAAAGTTCATTTAAGTTTCGGAGAGGAGTTTGGAATCCTTTAGCTCATTTTTGGGAAAACGAGATATTTTTTCTAAGTCAGTGAGTCGTGAGATTGTGTGTTGATGTGAGGGTAGTTTAGCTGCCCTGTGGGGTTCCTCACACACACACATTTACCAAACTATGCCTCTCAATACACACACAAATATATCCTCAAAGACACTGACGCTGAAACACAACACTATTACACTATTTTGTGTGGCAATTTAACCCTGCTTACTTAATAAAAATCTCTGGAGCACTAATGACAAAAAAAATGTCATAATCTTTCTTTGAGATGTAATAACTTTCTCCACCTCTGAAACATCTGCTGTGTGGGTGAGCACAAACATTAACCAGTAATAATATCACAAAGCATTTCTCACAATCCAATCTACATTAGATCCCGCTGAATATTCAGCTTCACTTGGAAATATTACTGAAGTTAAATTGTGAATACCATTTCATGTTGACTTTGGAAGTTCAAAGTTAATTCAGCTTGATTGATTTAGATGAGTCTTTTGCTGTCCTATAGCTGACTCTGGTGCCAGAACAGACCGTTCTTCCTCTTGTGGACAAATCCAGTCATCAGGAGATCACAGTGGGTGTGAGCTTCCAGCATCCTGACATCATCGCTAATGCTGATGTGGTCCAGCAGCATCTGAGTGAGCCGTACTACTGGAGATTGCCAAAACAGTTCAAACGCTCCATGGTCAGTCTGCCACTATCAGTCTCAGCTTTTTCATTTTATTTTATATACATTAAATACACATTTACATACATTTATGTATACATGTTTGTTGCTAGAACAGGAGATTTGTGGTCAGTAAAAAATTGTAATGCTTGTTGTCAGTAATTAACAATCGGTCCCTATAGATTCTCTTTGCCACCTGGAAAATTCTCAGTCCCTTAAAGTGTATAACGGCCGGGAAGCAAGAAAACACACATCAAATTGTATTCTCAATACTTCAACTTTATTCATAGATACAAAAATATTATATAGGCATATGTCGAGGGGAGTTTCAACCCTTTAACCAATGAGGATATAGATGACATTTTGGATTTTGGCCAAGAATATGTGTTATATAAAATGGCCACATGTACAGGAAAATATGGACATATTAGGAATAAACTTGGCGAAGGATGCTGAACTATCTCCATAGTTCATCACGAACCCCATTACCTTGGAGTCCTAGCTTTCGTGTCCTCGTTTGAACATTTGAACCCAGAAAAGCTAATGCATACATGTGCGCATACGTACCTCGAATATGAGTAAGAGATATTAAAACATAATACAAGAGAGAGAGATCAGATGGAGGAGGGGGGAATCAGAGAGAGAAAACAACATTGCGCTGTACAGGGAGGGCGAGCAGAGAGGGAGAGAAGAAAAGGAGGGTGAAAACATCTGGAACAAATTCAGACAGAGAGTGTTTTCTAACACTTGTGAAAGAAGTCTCTTTTGCTCACCAAAGCTGCATTTATTTGATTAGAAATACAGTAAAAATAGTAATATTGTGAAATATTATAAAAAAAATTAAATATGTTTTCTATGTTAATATATTTTAAAAATGTAATTTATTCCTTTGATCAAAGCTGTATTTTCAGCATCATTACTCCAGTCTTCAGTGTCACATGATCCTTCAGAAATCATTTTAATATGCTGATTTGCTGCTCGAGAAACGTTTTTGATCAGTTTCGAAAACAGTTGTGCTACTTCATATTTTTGTGAAAACCGTGACACATTTTATTTTTCAGGATTCTTTGATGAATAGAAAGTTCAAAAGAACAGCATTTTCAGCATTGCTGAATAAAATAATGTATTTATTTAAATAAAACTGATGCCAAACTTTTTGAATGCAAGTGTACAGTCCAGTTGTTTCAATTATATAAAATATATTTTTTTAAATTTCAAGGCCAGCTAATGAACATTACAATGAGTCTCACCATTCGGAGGTTGTTCTTTCAGATAACAGCCTATGGTGGGAAGCTGAAGTATGCCATCTATTACGAGGCTCGTGATGAGACGGGCCGCACCTCTTACGAGCCCCAGGTCATCATAAAGGGTGGACCCAACAAGGACAAGGTCATGGTCCGCCACATGCCAGCACTTCAGATTGGCCAGCTGACCCGTCACGAGATTGATATAACAGAGGTGAGCCAATCAGGGATGAGAGTCAGCGCTCAGCCCCTCCCACTTACTGAAACACACAGCACATCACTTTTACAAGAGTGTTGACAGTGTTTGCATGTGCAGGAGTCATTCACATGATCTCATTTACCACAGTTACATCAACCATACACTAAAACACTGATGTTTTGCAGCACGAATGGAAACACAAGGATGACAGGCCGATGTCTCGTGAGGATTTCATGGACGTGCTGTTTCATGTCGAATATATCCTAATAAAGGCCTCACACGGCAGCGTCATGAGACACAGCAGGTAACTGATCTCAAGCATGGCCTACAACTGTATTTCAAATGTTATTCAACTTTCAAATTACGAGGAAGAACCTTGGTGATTATAGATAACTAAAGCTAAAACTTAAACCATAAAAAATGTTACTTGAAATAAAATAAACTTTAACTAAAATAAGGCAGCATTTCTAATTTTCATTTAGTTTAACTTGTACTAAATATAACTGAAACTAAAAATGAAATAATAATTAATAAAAACTGTATAGCCACATAAATAAAACTAAAAAAGGTGAAAAAAACATAAATAAATGACCAAAACTTCACAAAAAAAAATAATAATTCAAAATATGAATAAGAACTATAATGGGATCTATTATACTAAAATAACACTGGTAAGAACTTGTTTTATAAGTTCTAGTAATTTATGAGTTGTAATAAGTTTTGTAATACCAAAATAGTTATGAAGGAGCAGAAGCTCATATGTATGTGTGTGTGAACTGGTGTGATGTGCAGGATTTCTGAGATCACTTTGGAGGTGGCTGAGGTGGGGACGCCCTCAAAGGACAGTGAAATCGCCCATCAGATTGAGAAATGTGACTGTCCTCTGGGATACGCCGGTCTCTCCTGTGAGGTAAAGGCTTTTGTGCACAATATTTGACGTGTAAGAGCTGTTATGTGCTGGAAGGTTGTGATAAGACATATGTCATAAATGCTATTATTACCCAACTCTCTGTAGGTCAGATATTATAGCATAATATTGGTCAGATAATAGGGCATAGGCCAACGTCATAGTAAAAATAGTAAGGACACACATTTTCATGAAAACATTATGTGTTTTATATTTATTACATAGCATGGCTGAGATTGCTTCATCCACATAATAAACTCAATCTGATGTTCACAACATTACCAAAAAACCAACTCTGAAAAGTCCCAGTAATGCAGTTTCCAAATAGATTTAACGTGACGTCCTTGTCACAATAATTAGGCCGCTTTGAAAGGTGCTGACATGCCCTTTCATAACAGGGCTCTAGAAACACAACAGCTCTGGAAAAACAGGCCGAACAGCTGGATGTATCGCTGCACGACACTCATCATTACAGCCAGTGTTTCTGCTTCTCAGACTGGTAATGTGTTAAAGCGCTCTCTCGCCGCCAGTCTCCGCCCACAAAGCGCTCGTGTGAGATCTTTAACAAGCTCAAGCGTGCGAGACTCCGATTACAGATCAGCGAGAGTCAGTTGTTCACATTCAGGCTGGACGAGGCCGTGTGAGACAGATGGCCGTAACTCTGAAACACCTCATACTGTGCTTAATAAAGTATTTTTAAACAGGCGTTTAGCAAGTTCACCCTGAACAGATGGTGTACTAAATTGATGCGATTAATTTTGAAGAGCAATGGTGAGAGGGAGTGTTGCTATGGTTTCAATGGTTGAGGACTATATTTTTCCCCGTATGAACATGCTGGTCTACAATGTAACAATTTTTTGGTGTGGATTTGCGGCACGTTCCTGCTTAATTGAATCACAATGATTATGTGTGTCTGTAACCTCTTGCATACTTAAACATTAACTGTAGTACTGTCATATCCGAACGCCACAGCACTATGCTAACACATGCGCTGCAGAATGAACACGTTGTACAGGTTCATTTGTAACTATTTGCTATAATGTCTAAGAGTCTATGTTGTCTCCGTTGTCAGGTTTTGAGTGCTGAAATCTGAGAATGCAAAGTTCACCAGAATCACACTTAACTGAATATGCTTTTTTTTACTATAAAATGCAACATGCAGTAAATCACCGTTACACAAATTTGCGTTTTTGTAGTTTACACAGAGATGATAACGGGTTTTCAAAAACTTGCACTTTGAAACCCATTTTCAAAAGTTTGCATTTTCAGACAACCAAAACACTGTTGTCATGTGAATGAATGACCGAAACACACAAAAAAAGTCGTGCAATCACCCCCTTAGTTTCACATTCATATTATGAATATATTATTGTATTGTAAGAGGTTGCTGTAAAATCTTGCTGATGTAGTACAGTGTATTTGTGTAAATAACAGTGTGATGGCTCATGCAGGAATGTGCAGCGGGGTTCTACAGGCTCTCTGTTCATGCCGGTGGAGCCGCGTCCAGAGCGGGCTTTGGCACCTGTGTCCGGTGCCAGTGCAATGGACACAGTGACTCGTGTGATCCTGAAACAGCCGTCTGCCAGGTGCGTACACCCTTAATAAAAGCATTTATGAGCTGCATTCCTCTGAGTGGACCAAGTCCTTCCTGATTGGATTGGCTTGAGTGAGTGTCTCCCATTGATAGAGAGTTGACGTAGCATTGCTGGGCTGATGTGCATTCAGAACCTCTGAGCAACAGTATCAATGAACCATCACAGATGACAGTTGTCCAAAACCCATTTTCCTAAACTAAATGGTGCTGGAGCCATTTTTCAGCCAGGGGATCTTTGAGCCGCTCTCAGAACTGGCCTGCATTTCCATTGACTTGACTGCCCAGAACCAGCTTTTCTGCAGTGGAAATGTGGATTTGGCCAGAATGGATCCAGCACCGTGTTCGTGGAAACGAGGTGCAAGTAAAGCACCCTGGAAGAATCGGGTCTGTTGAGTCCACCAAAAATGGACATGCAGTCGAACTGTTCTCCAAACAGCTTGTACAGACCTTCTTCTGCTTTCAATTGCATGCATGCTAATAGCAATATCATTTGCATTTTACGGGTTTTCGCAAATTGAAAATGGTAAACGAGTGTGCAGGGGGGTAATCTGAGTAATTGAGGTACACAGAACAAGGCCCAGTAAAGCGCAACTTCAGCAGTCTGATTACTCTCCACTCTGAAAGCTGCCGCTCCTCTGTGCCTCTTTCTCGCCGTTTTTCTGCTCATTCTTGTTGTGAGACTTGGGCAACTTGAGAAATGCAGATCTCTTTACTTTGGCCAGCTTTCTGTTCTTAACGTTGCATTTCCACAAGATTAAGAGAGAGCTTTATGTGTTTCTTGAAAAGCTACATTTGTATTGATTTTATGTGTAATGAAATTAAGCTGTTGTCTTTCTGTTATCTTTTGTCTTACCAGTGTGATTATATGCTGTAACTCGTGCTGTCAATCAAGCAATTTAAATTTAAACCAGATGCATCGCAATTAATTGTACATATCAATATTTGCTGTCCCAAACTGAATTTGACTCGGAGACATTATCATGCATTATTCTGATGGAAAAATGAGACCCAGTGTCATGTTATGTGTAATTAAACTTTAAAAAACGAGTATCAAACCCTGCATTCTGTAAGATTGTGAGCTCTGCATTCATTCTGTGCCGTCTGCTCTCAGTAAGTGTGTTTTCTCTGACTGCAGACTGAAAAAAAAAAACTGAATTCTCTATTATGGAATTGTTTCAAAGCAGGTTTACAGAAAGTTGTGCTGTTAATAATGCCTCAGTGTTTTAACATGGAGCAGTTTTTGGGCTGGATGATATGACGATATAAAACAACGATCCCACAGATTGAGATTTAGCTGTTTTCATAGTGTTGTCTAGCACATGTATCAGTACAGCAGTGACATTTAAGAGATTGAAATATTGGCTGGTTTTGTTCAAAGCAAGCGATTCTCAAAAATTATTAATGAAAATAAGATCAGATGTCACAGATGAAAAGTCTGAAAAGCCATAAGGGGTGGTTAAGGGATTAGGTAATGGTTGGTTTAGTTGTAAACAATTCTCAGAACACATCAATAAATATACCATCTGTTGTCTTAAGTGAAAACTAGATGCTTATCAAAGAGTCTAATGTGAGTTTAACATTTTCCAACATGTTTAATTGGAAGTCATTTAAGTGTTAGGAAATATAGGATATGGCTTTCATTTTAATTAGTAGCATCTCTAATTTCAGACAGAATAACTATAACATGATGGCGTTACTAACTGTGAGCTGCTCGGTAGTCAACACATAATTATTTAATTGTGCAGTAAGCATTGTTAATGGTTTCATTTAAATGCATCAAATTGACAGCCGTAGTTATAACAGTATTATTACATGTTATACAGTCTTAATAGTGTTTTTATGCTTTTTTTGTTCTAGAATTGTCAGCATAACACAGTCGGCGATAAGTGTGAGCGATGTGCTGCAGGGTTTTACGGCGTAGTGCGCGGCTTTACCGACGACTGCAAACCCTGTGCGTGTCCGCTCCTCAACCCGGAGAACAAGTATGTGACACACACACACACACACACACACACTTTAGCTGTGCTAAGTCTAACTTTTGCTCTGTTTCTCTCAGCTTTAGTCCCACCTGTCAGACGGAGGGTTTTAGTGACCACCGCTGCACCTTTACCGACGACTGCAAACCCTGTGCGTGTCCGCTCCTCAACCCGGAGAACAAGTATGTGACACACACACACACACACACACACTTTAGCTGTGCTAAGTCTAACTTTTGCTCTGTTTCTCTCAGCTTTAGTCCCACCTGTCAGACGGAGGGTTTTAGTGACCACCGCTGCACCTCCTGTCCTGAAGGCTATGAGGGAAAACACTGTGAAAGGTGAAAACATATTTCTAAATGATGTAAAACAAGTCATTACTTACATGGCCGAATCTGTCAATAAAGTGTTGAAAATGAGTGTGCGTTTCCCTCTGCAGCATTGAATGTGAGTCGAGTTTTAAGTGTAACTAGTAATTTTTTAACAGAGGCCTCATAACGTGTTGAATGTGATTTCGGTATGCGCAGGTGCGCCCCTGGTTTCCATGGTAACCCGAGTGTGTTGGGCGGCCGGTGCGAGGAGTGTAAGTGCGACGCTTACGGTGCATTTCCCACAGTGTGTGACCCGCGCTCCGGACAGTGCCGGTGTCGTCCCGGAGCCAGCGGCCTGAAGTGTGACCAGTGCATGGAGAGGCATGTGTGTGGCCCTCAGGGCATCGTGTGTACGTATGACAAAACATGAGCAGTCTCCAGCCTCTCTTTGACCCTGACCCTTTTCTGCTACCGTGCCTTTAAGACTTCTGTGATGTATATTGAATATGATTAACTAAGTTAGGCTGATCTGATTTATCCTCTGTGTCTTTGTTTCTTAAACAGCCACTAATAACAGAGAAGAGATGCAGCCAAAACAAACAGCATTTTAATTAGACATGCTCAGATTTCCCCTCACAAAATTACTGTTTACTTTTGGTATAATTGTTGACTGATCATTTTCTCAGCTTGGAGAGATCAGATTGCATTGCTGCGCTAGACACCTGCTCCTCAGCACTGGGTTTGAAATCATCTCTTTTAGCAATTATGTGTTTTATGATAATTGTATTGGTTGACTGGACAGATTGGGTAATTATGCATGTGTTTTTTCTGTGTATGCGTGACGTGTGGTGCTTCATAATCCAGCATTCATTGTCAGGGATGTCATTTTTTTATATTTATATGGATTTTCGTATTTTCCAAACTGAGAAGCTTGGCCAACATGAATATATCAGTGTAGTAATTTACTGTTGTTCTATTAAATAAGTAAATAAATAATAATAATAATAATAATAATTTATTTTATTTATTTAAAATAATTACTGTACAATATAATTTACTATACTAACTATATTGTTGCAATAGTAATATATTATGTTGATTTATTTTTTATATTTTAAATGATAATTATTTTTATATGTGTGTTTGTGCACGTGTATGAGATGATGATGATGATGATGATAATTATTATTGTTATACTAATTTTTAATTAGTTAACTTTTTTACCGTACTATAGTATTTCTGTATATATTTCTGTAATTGTATTGCTCTGTCTAATTTTTATAATATAAATAATTTGTATTAGAAAAATTAAACAGATTTTTAAAAAAAAGTATAAAAAAAATAATAATTTAATGTAATAATATAATATATAATATAATAACAGTAATAATGAGTTCTGTATGCTTCATGAGTTAGTATGTATCAGGTTCGTGTCATGGGTCTGAATTGTGATTTATTTTTATTTTTTTCTGAAGTCAAAAATGTCAACAAAAAAACCCCTTTAATAATCATAATAATAAAAACGTAATACAACTCAAACAACTTGACTATATTAGAGTGCATACAGTTTTAAAAGTATGACCGCAGGACATTAAACTTGTTAGCATTAGATTTATGAGGTAAAATGACTTGGTCGGTGTAGCACAAATCATGTAAAGCCAGTAATATGTGCAGAATATGAATATGCACAGAATATGTGCAAAGGCTGGTTACACCGCTTGCCTTGTGGTTATCAGCCGTCTCGACTAATCTGACTCTTATAACTTATTTTCCTTCATGTTTATCCTGGTTCCCTTAGACTGTCATTGTTAATGCATTAAGCTATATGCAATTTATTTTACACTGAGGAATGAGTGAAGATATTTTGTTTAATATGGAGGCACCACCCTGCTGTAAAGATTGATCATTTTCACACCTTTACTCGTTCGGTCTTTAAAGGCGTCTTCACAGGAAATCTTAATAGCTCCATTTTTTTCAAGAGGTTAAATTGAGCGGTGTTTTGCATCCGCAGCGAAAGCCACGCGCCTGTCTGTGCCTTTTTTCCCTCCCGCTATCGCTCGTAGCATGTCAAACACTCATAATGGGCTGCCAGGACCTGTTTCACACTCTGTGTTAAATTTCACGCTTGAGAAGTCCTGCTCCCCTGAGTTTCCACCTCGCTCACGTTTAATCTAGAGAGAGAGAAGTGCTCGGGGACACGGCTCGCCCTCCGAGCAGGTGAATGGAGATGATGGAGGGATGCTGGATGAGTGCTGTTGTGATAGCAGAGACAAAAGAGGCCAATAACATTCGTTAACAGCATTGCCCCAGGACCTGTCCATCCTTGTTGTCCTTTCAGAGAGCGTGTGCCCTCACACACACACATATTCACAGACACTCATCCTGTGCACATGCCTTAATCAAATATGAACGCAGTACAAGTATGTGCACTCCTTTTTAATTTGCACTTCAGTAAATGTACAAATGGACTGCTAGTGTAACTCAAGTGTGTAATTCCTATGCGACTAATGTCTCAAAATAGGGCTGCAAGAGGTTTCCTGAGCATTCAATCTATCTTCTGTCAACTTGAACTTCTGTCAATCAATCAGATAGTCCCGCCCCAACATAAAATATCTAAAAACAAATAAATTGTTATTCATCTATTGCACAAAAGCAACAAGAACAACTAATATAAAATGTAAAAAAAAAAAGATTAACGGGGCAAACATAGGCAAGGTTTATATTTATAACACGTGTTTGCAGCTGAATTGTGATTTATTTTTATTTTTTTCTGAAGTCAAAAATGTCAACAAAAAAACCCCTTTAATAATCATAATAATAAAAACGTAATACAACTCAAACAACTTGACTATATTAGAGTGCATACAGTTTTAAAAGTATGACCGCAGGACATTAAACTTGTTAGCATTAGATTTATGAGGTAAAATGACTTGGTCGGTGTAGCACAAATCATGTAAAGCCAGTAATATGTGCAGAATATGAATATGCACAGAATATGTGCAAAGGCTGGTTACACCGCTTGCCTTGTGGTTATCAGCCGTCTCGACTAATCTGACTCTTATAACTTATTTTCCTTCATGTTTATCCTGGTTCCCTTAGACTGTCATTGTTAATGCATTAAGCTATATGCAATTTATTTTACACTGAGGAATGAGTGAAGATATTTTGTTTAATATGGAGGCACCACCCTGCTGTAAAGATTGATCATTTTCACACCTTTACTCGTTCGGTCTTTAAAGGCGTCTTCACAGGAAATCTTAATAGCTCCATTTTTTTCAAGAGGTTAAATTGAGCGGTGTTTTGCATCCGCAGCGAAAGCCACGCGCCTGTCTGTGCCTTTTTTCCCTCCCGCTATCGCTCGTAGCATGTCAAACACTCATAATGGGCTGCCAGGACCTGTTTCACACTCTGTGTTAAATTTCACGCTTGAGAAGTCCTGCTCCCCTGAGTTTCCACCTCGCTCACGTTTAATCTAGAGAGAGAGAAGTGCTCGGGGACACGGCTCGCCCTCCGAGCAGGTGAATGGAGATGATGGAGGGATGCTGGATGAGTGCTGTTGTGATAGCAGAGACAAAAGAGGCCAATAACATTCGTTAACAGCATTGCCCCAGGACCTGTCCATCCTTGTTGTCCTTTCAGAGAGCGTGTGCCCTCACACACACACATATTCACAGACACTCATCCTGTGCACATGCCTTAATCAAATATGAACGCAGTACAAGTATGTGCACTCCTTTTTAATTTGCACTTCAGTAAATGTACAAATGGACTGCTAGTGTAACTCAAGTGTGTAATTCCTATGCGACTAATGTCTCAAAATAGGGCTGCAAGAGGTTTCCTGAGCATTCAATCTATCTTCTGTCAACTTGAACTTCTGTCAATCAATCAGATAGTCCCGCCCCAACATAAAATATCTAAAAACAAATAAATTGTTATTCATCTATTGCACAAAAGCAACAAGAACAACTAATATAAAATGTAAAAAAAAAAAGATTAACGGGGCAAACATAGGCAAGGTTTATATTTATAACACGTGTTTGCAGCGTTGAGCAATGTAGCCAATCACAGACATATCTGTTGATTTCTGGATGCAATCAGAGGCGTTTAAGTTAGAATCCACTCACCGCTCAAAACGCCAGAGTTTTTGCGCAGTGCTGAGATTTGCGTGATCACGAATCCTCTCACGGGTGTAAACATTATGAATGATTCATTATGCATATATTCATTGTGTTATAACAGAGCTTTGTGAGATCGCGATGAACTGAGATGTCAGTTTTTTAGGGATTATAAAGGGAGCGCTCTTTGCTCATTCTGCCGTGTTTATATAGTTTTAATACATTTTTATTTCAGTTTTAGTTTTAGATATTTTAGTACAACAAGTTAAACTGTGTAATGTCTGCCCTGAGACCCTTAAGCATGCATATGCGTATCTGAGGGGTTTTTCTGTGTGACCTTGTAAGGTGGCATCTGATGGAGGATGCATGCATGCAGTGTGTGCAGTGTGATGCCTGTGGGGTGCGTGTGCATGTGTTACTATATGAGTCTGATGTGTTGATTTTTGACTTGTGTTTCCAGCGTGTGACGACGACTGCGCGGGACTCTTGATTCGTGACATGGATCGTCTGCTGCGTTTGATTGGCAGCGTCAATCTCACTCTGCCCCTCCCCCTGCCGTATAAAGTGCTGTATCGATACGAGAACATGACGGAGGAGCTGAAGGTGAGCATGAGCAGCAGAGCTCTGATCATCAGTGTCCTTTCACAGGGCCTCAAAACACCAAACCCATCCAAGTCTGGAAGATCTTTACTGTCAGTTTAACGCGCTAACTTACAGGATGCATTATTGAATTCAGAGGTGATCCCGCTCAATCATAAATTCAATAGCAAAATGGATTGCTGCTGAATAGCACATAATGCTATTAAAGGGATAGTTCATCCAAAAATGAAAATTACCCCATAGTTTACTCACCTTCAAGCCATCCTAGGTGTATATGACTTTATTATTTCATACGAATCCAATCAGAGTTATATAAAAAAAATGTCCTGGCTCTTCCAGGCTTTATAATGGCAGTGAATGGGTGTTATTTTTCAATAGTCCAAAAGAAGTCCAATAAAGCGCATCCATCCATCATAAAAAGTAGCGAATCAATGCGTTTTTATAAGAAAAATATCCATTTTAAAAATGTATGAACTGTAATTTTTAGCTTTAGTAATCTTTAACCACTAAGCATATACATATCTATGAGCGTAAGGTCCGGTGATAATATGCTAGTCTCGCGAGAACCGACGTTTTGTTAACAGGAGCAAAGGAAGCAAAGTTTCCATACTCGGCTTATATCAAAATCCTCCGACATTCTTCTTTACAAATCTTCGCTTCGTACTTCTAATTCGTGACCGGTGTTTTGTTACGCTCTCTCCTCTGCGCTTCCTCATTCGTCACTTCTCACCGGACCTTACAATACACCTACTTCATCCGCCTGAACGTTAGCGCAAGCTAGAAATTACGGTTTATAAAGTTTTAAATATAGATATTTTTCTTACAAAAACGCATTGATTCGCTTCAGGAGGCCTTTATTCACCCCCCGGAGGCACTTTTTTTATGATGGATGGATGCACTTTATTTGACGTCTTTTGGACTGTTGAAAAATAACACCCATTCACTGCCATTATAAAGCTTGGAAGAGCCAAGACGCTTTTAAATATAACTTCGATTGGATTCGTCTGAAAGAAGAAAGTCACATACACCTAGGATGGCGTGAGGGTGAGTAAATCATGGGGTCATTTTCATTTTTGGGTGAACTATCCCTTTAATTACATTTTTTAATCAATTGACAGTCCTATTTTTTTGAGAGTTTATTTACACACATACTGTACACATGTAAACACAGCCCAAAAAATGTCTGTAAAATGTTTTCTGGTACAACTTGAATTGTTTGCATACTCCACCTGAATAATGACACCGAGAAGCTGAAAAAGCACAGTCAGAACTGTGTCTTGAACACAGAAACTAAAGCAGTAATCATGTGCTGTACTTCATCTGTTTAAGCTCCGGTAGGACGGCAGGTTCGTTTGGAGAAGCTCTAATCACGTCAGACGGACTGATCTTCTGCTAATTAGCATCTATATTTGAGTTGTTTACAATATCGTTTTCCATGTATAGCTCGAATTATTCATTACATGACTCATAATTCAGTGATGTCAAATGAGGCCGGTGTCATCCTGGTTTCCATGGTGACACGTCTCTGTCCGTCAGTCGTGTGTTGATGGTAATGCCGTGTCTTTGGTCGTGTGTTTGCAGCACATGCTGTCCCCTCAGAGAGCCCCGGAGAGACTGCTGCAGCTGGCCGACAGTAACCTGGGCAGTCTGGTCACTGAGATGGACGAACTGCTCAGCAGGGTGAGTCTCTCACACGGTAAACATCAGGCCTGAACCTGATCTAATCAGTCCTTACGGTATGGAGTGTGCGCAAGCTAGAAATTACGGTTTATAAAGTTTTAAATATAGATATTTTTCTTACAAAAACGCATTGATTCGCTTCAGGAGGCCTTTATTCACCCCCCGGAGGCACTTTTTTTATGATGGATGGATGCACTTTATTTGACGTCTTTTGGACTGTTGAAAAATAACACCCATTCACTGCCATTATAAAGCTTGGAAGAGCCAAGACGCTTTTAAATATAACTTCGATTGGATTCGTCTGAAAGAAGAAAGTCACATACACCTAGGATGGCGTGAGGGTGAGTAAATCATGGGGTCATTTTCATTTTTGGGTGAACTATCCCTTTAATTACATTTTTTAATCAATTGACAGTCCTATTTTTTTGAGAGTTTATTTACACACATACTGTACACATGTAAACACAGCCCAAAAAATGTCTGTAAAATGTTTTCCGGTACAACTTGAATTGTTTGCATACTCCACCTGAATAATGACACCGAGAAGCTGAAAAAGCACAGTCAGAACTGTGTCTTGAACACAGAAACTAAAGCAGTAATCATGTGCTGTACTTCATCTGTTTAAGCTCCGGTAGGACGGCAGGTTCGTTTGGAGAAGCTCTAATCACGTCAGACGGACTGATCTTCTGCTAATTAGCATCTATATTTGAGTTGTTTACAATATCGTTTTCCATGTATAGCTCGAATTATTCATTACATGACTCATAATTCAGTGATGTCAAATGAGGCCGGTGTCATCCTGGTTTCCATGGTGACACGTCTCTGTCCGTCAGTCGTGTGTTGATGGTAATGCCGTGTCTTTGGTCGTGTGTTTGCAGCACATGCTGTCCCCTCAGAGAGCCCCGGAGAGACTGCTGCAGCTGGCCGACAGTAACCTGGGCAGTCTGGTCACTGAGATGGACGAACTGCTCAGCAGGGTGAGTCTCTCACACGGTAAACATCAGGCCTGAACCTGATCTAATCAGTCCTTACGGTATGGAGTGTGGAAGTCAAGAACAAAGAAGCTGCGTTGCAATCACTTGTTCACTAACCGTCTAAACCAGGGGTGCCCAAACTCAGTCCTGGAGGGCCGGTGTCCTGCAGAGTTTAGCTCCAGCTTGCCTCAACACACCTGCTGGTAAGTTTCTAGTATGCCTAGTAAGAGCTTGATTAGCTGGTTCAGGTGTATTTAATTGGGGTTGGAGCTAAACTCTGCAGGACACCGGCACTCCAGGACCAAGTTTGGGCCACCCTGGTCTAAACCATCTAAATTCAGCATCAAATTTAGTATTAACTGAAAGTCCACACATGCAAACATCTCCTGGTGGCCTTCGTTGAGTATAAATGTGTTGCTGTTTTTTAATAGATATTGGTATTATTAGGAACTGAACTGTGTGACCCTACATTAAGTTTTACTTATTTCACAGTAAAAAGGGCCATTTGGGGCACAGAGTCTCTTCTGCTCATCAGGGATGCATTGAACAAAAATACAGTAACTTCAGTAATATTGTGAAATATTATTTCAATTTAAAATAACTGTAATGTATTTCTGTGATGCGCAGCTGTATTTTCAGCATCATTCCTCCAGTCTTCAGTGTCACATGATCTTCAGAAATCAGTATAATATGCTGATCTGCTGCTCCAGAAACATTTCTGATTATTATCAATGTTGAAAACAGTTGTGCTGCACAATATTTTTGTGGAAAATGTGATACACTACCATTCAAAAGTTTTGGGTATGTAAGGTTTAAAAAAGGGGAAAAATTAATAGGCTACTTATTTTATTCGGATTAAATTGATCAACAGTGACAGTAAAGAAAATGCTATTTCTAACAAATGCTGTTCTTTATCAAAGTATCTTGAAAAATAAAATGTATCTCAATTTCCAAAAAAAATAAATTAAATCAGCAGCAACTGTTTTCAACATTGATAACAATCAGAAATGTTTCTTGAGCAGCAAATCAGCATAGAGGTGTCAGATCTAATGTGTCTCGTTGTTTTTATCCTGAGGCTGCTCGGCTTCTTCACACAACTGCAGAAGAGCATGTGAGGCTGATCTGAGACTGTTCCTTAAAATCTTTCATTGGGTTTTTCTCATGCAGGCAACTAAAGTGTCTGCTGATGGACAGCAGACGGCAGCAGATGCAGAGCGGAGCCGCAAAGGAGCCGAGGACCTGGAGCTTTACGTCAGGAACACACTGCTGGCTGCTGAAGGTACCAACAAATATCAAACTGAGGAAATGGATTTGACTGGTCCAGCTGAAATTATGATTTTAATGAGGTTTTCATGGGATCAGTATGAGATTAGCTGAGGTTTAGGTGATGGTTGGATGAGGCTGAGGTGAGAATGGGGCTTTGTGTGTGTCTGTGTGTGTGTGTGTGTGTCTGTGTCTGTGTCTGTGTCTGTCTGTGTCTGTGT